CGAGAAAAGATGGAAAAGAGGATGCAGGACGCGCGGAAAGCAAAAGCAGGCTGCATGACTTGCATGCTGGTGACGACGCCTTGGGGCTGTCGTTTTTTGTGAAGATGGCAAAATTGCCAAGCAGGGCAGTCGTCGGCGGCGATCCAGAGTTGTTGGAATATGCAAGGCTTCATTCAGCTCGACCGGGATGTTGACTTACCAATGCACCAAGACTCCGCCACCTCCCTGGAGCCCCTCCTGGATGAAGCGGTTTGTAGCAGGGAAATGCTCCAATAGATTCTCGTCGTCGACATCGTCGACCTCGACAACCATGTGCTTGAAGGGGCCAAACAAGTCTTGATCTAGTGGTGTACGCAATACCGACAAGACGTGCGTGATATTGGCTTGCTGGAGGGCTTCGCGCCGTCGCAGCGTGAACATGCTACGCAACACTGGTTAGACAGTAGTCTGGTGACCCCAGACCTGGGCCATGGGGTAGATGCGAAACGATGGTCGACCGTCGACATTACGTACCCACCAATGTACAGGTTCAGGTCCCCGGGCACTCTGTCGATGAGCGCCATGATAGGCAAAGGAAGGGCTCCGAGAACAATCGGACGCCGGAGATGAGGGTATGACGATCAATAAACTTGGAAGAGGCGCGAGTTGTTGGAGGTGTGCGAGAAGAGGGTCTAATTTTGGCCGAGGGTCCTGGGTTTCTGATCGCGCGTGCCCGCCAAAATTGCGGACCACCCGTAATTGCATCAGATAAGTGGTTTGTTAAATTTGGAGACGCTGCAACACGCTCGATTGACTGCTACATAGTGTGTTTACTTTCGAAATCCTTGCATTGACGTATGAGTTTCCAAAGTTGCATGCCAGAGGGCACGGCCAAGCATCGCAGTGAACACACCACGAGCTTCAATTACGTTGCCGAGCTAGTAGTTCATAGCCTTATAGGTGCATGGACTATGTTCCACGCCTTGCCCGTACTGACCCGTAGTTCACAGTCTTTAGTGAAGCCCTTTGCAATAACAACTGTCATGGAGAGAGTCATGCGTCGTTGCAGTCAGCGGTATTTTCCGCAAGACCGCGGGGCTACACACAGTGGATCAGGGACTGCATACCATTAACATGGATGAGTCTATAGCTCGAATCGAGAAATTCCAGTTCTATGAAGGGCTAAGGCCGTTGTTGCTGCGCCCCCAGCGTATTTGAGTTGCCCGAGCAGCCGGAATTCAGGACAGCGGTCAATGAATGCCATGTTTTGTCTCGTGTCGGTGGTGTGGTGTTGCTGGCATCGTGAGACAGGCAATATTGCAGCCGCTACCGAGAGACAGAAATAGCGAATTGCTTGTACTCCCCGGCTGCTCGCAAGGCTGGCGGTGCCGCCTCGTCCCGCAACTCGGCGAATCGCATCAGACTGGCAAACGGGTAGAGAAGCGGTAGTTGCGAATTTGATATTCCATGTCGCCGACGAGGGTTACAAAGTCGCTGACATCACGCACGCGTTGCTGGTTCGCGCTGTCTCAAAGCAGCTGGAGCGCCGCTTACCTGACCACAGAGCAGGACCCACTCGCCGGTGAATGCTACGAGGTACCACTGTCGCCCTCCGACTGCAATAGTAGGTTCGGCTTGGGGCCGATACCCCGGAGTAATACGCGTGACAGCACGAGGTACCCTGGATGCAGCAGCGAGCAGGGACAGTGCGGGCGATGTCAATCGAGATAGGGCCCCAGATAGAGGCAGCCGTTCTCGGCCTGTATGTACGACGAGTGCAGGTACCAAAAATACCATGGTGCACCAGACAGAGTGCATAGTGTGTACGCCCCGCAGTGATGAAGGAGACGGATCAGCAGATCAGCGTGCGCTGGGTGACAGCCGTCTCAGCCTGACTGATGCCCAGAGGGTCGAGTGTAAGGCTGCTCTGGGCTTACGCTGTTGGAACTGCTCAGCATCCGTGCACTGGCCTCCCGCTACCCGCCGTCGAGTCTAACCCACACGGTTGAATCTGACGCTGTGCCGTCTGCACCGCAGTCCCCCATGCCCATCGAGGCGAAGCGCAACGTCTGCATGTTGGACAGTCTGGTCAGATTCCAGGCATGCTGCCCTCGTCAGCCAGCGGGCCTGCGCCGTCGGCAGCCTCTGCGCCTGCCCTACCAGCCCTCTCACCGTTGCACCGGCCTGACTGACGTCTACGCACGGCGGCTCTACTTGGTCTGCGTAATGATGCTGGACGAGCGGGCGCCAATCCTCGATTGATTGTTCCGCCCGCCCACGCTGCTGGGAGTCGTCGCCCGTCACTGCAATCTACGAGGCGACGTCGAGGCGCTAAGGGCAAGCCCTATGCACGAGACGAGCGTCGCGGCGTGGACCTTGAAGCTTCTCGAAAGCGAGAGCCCTCCTCCGACCGCCTAAGGGTTGCATCTCACCCCTGCTGGAGCTCCACTGCGCTCCGTGCCAGGAGCAACCAAGGCATGGCCAATCACCGACATTCGAGCGTATGCTTTATGCTAACCGCACTCCCCGGTGGAGGGCGTTTCTTCTGCTCCGTCTGCCAACTGCTGCTGCTGCTGCTGTCCAGCGGCGCCTCTGTTCTGCACAAACATCGACGCGACGGAACAGACGACGCCGGCGGCCGAGCACGCTTCCTTTTCCATTCTACTCCACTCGCCTCGACGCTAGGGACCCTACCGCATTCCCGCGCCATCTTGTTCGCTGCCGTGTAGCAGGAACTGTGCGCTTCCGGGGCCCTGACGACTCTTCACTGCATTGCTCGCACCAGACTGGTCATATGACGACTGCTTTCGGGTGAAAAGAAGCAATATCTTTGTGTGGCGGTGCTGGCCAGAACCCTCCCGTTCAGCTGAAGGACCCTCCTCCCTCGTAGGGCTGAACTTTCAACAGCCGCAAGCGCTAGCGCCCCCGCTTTCGCTTTTGTAAGCCTCGCCGTCGAGAAGCCATCCCAACGACGCGTACGTCCCCTCGACCGACCGCACAGGTACGTTGCACGTTAGTACGCAATCGCGCGAGCTCAGCTGCCTCTGCCCGCCCTCCTGCTCCCATTCCCTGCCTGTTTCGGCCAGTCCGTGTACATTCCGGCTAACCATTCTACTCCAGGGTCCGTGCTTGCATACACTATCCAGTAGCGAGCATACTCACTCTTGCTCGTCGCGCTCGCCACATTTGCGCTGCTCGCGTGCTGCGCGAGTACGCTTCAGCTGCACCTTAGTGGCGGGCTCCCGGCGACCTCAACTTCCACGCGAGCCATGTCCTCCACACCGAGTATTCGCGTATATGATTCTCAGCGTGAATCCCACCACTACCAACTACCACACCACCGCCGACCGTCGATACCAACCCCGGCTGTCGCAATGGCCATCCCGAGAGTATGTCAGCTTGTGCTCCAGCTATTGGATACAACGGAGAGGGCTAGAGCACTTTGTGGCTTCATCACGCCTGAAATAGCTCCTGATTGAGTCGCAAAGCACTTCAGCCTCATCCGAGACACAATACGTCATATGAATCCCTCACTGACTGTACCGTTTTTACAGGCACGCGAACAGCCACCACCTCCCTTGCCTCCTCCACGTCACATCGAAGTCAGAGGTGGTCAAGACCCTGGTTGGCAATGGGGTAACACAAACAGCCCAAGGGACACCGGCTTTGGCGGAAATCGGCTCGCGACAGTTAAACCTGGCTCGAGCTTATACGGTGGAGCCACAGGCGGCCACCCGCGGGAACCTTCGCTCGATATGTTTAACCACGGCCGCGAACCGTCCCTCTCAAGATCCATCGACGGTATGAGCGAACACAGCACCAGCGAAGACGACCGTAGTAGCAAAGCTCGGCCCTCTCTCGGGAACCACAGGTACGGAACACGCTATTACATCTCCCTTCATATCATAGAGCAACTACTATCAGGGCTCTTGCAAGGCGCTGCAGCACTTGCGTGTCTTTGGTTAAGATGCGGTGTTGTCATTTCTCTGGCAGATCCCGGTCTTTTGGAGGATTCACACGCTTTTCGATTGGTCCAAAACTTGTCAAGGGTTGCTTGTATCCCTTGTGCATACAAATGGCTGGCTTCCTCATTTCAATCGTCTTGCGTGCCAGTTGGATAACTAACAATGAGCGACAGGTTTACGAGTGAGCGACAACTCGGTCAGAAAGCCCTCCAGAACTCATCGCAAGCCTACGATAAACAGCTGCTTTCGAAAATTGGCGGCCCGAATACACCCACACGGACGACTGCACCACCACTCCCCTCTGGCAACTCCCAAGACCCCGCCGCCGATACACACGCTTCTTCACATAAGCTCAACGGCCAACTGAAGCCACTGACTGTGCCGGCTACATCACCTGGCTACAGCGGCTGGCGAAGTCCCGGCTTCGACTCGGCGGATTCATACAGATCACGTTACGGCAGCATCTCAACGCCAGGTCCTTTGGACGAAACTTCTTCACAACACCGTGGTAGCTACGATCATAGCATATTTTCGGACCCTGAGTTTGTTGGCATGGAAGAGAATGGAATGCGCGATTTGAACATCAACGAGCGCAGCCCTGCCGAGTCAGAGGACTATCAGTTAGGCCCAAAGGGTGGCCTGAAACGGCGGGCCTCGTCCCCGCCCTCTGAAGCCGCGCGCGATGACCGTCCCATTCCGACTGGCCATAACGACCTCTACCACCGTCGCTCCCAGCAAATGCTCGTCAATCGGAACTGCACAGCTTCGCGTTTTCAGTCAACCCAAAACTCACTGTCCTCCGCTGGGTCCGCAAGCCAACGTAGTGGCTCGATTGGCTCCTCATTTGGGTTTTCAACCGCTCCAAGTAGCATGGCAAGTTATTGCGGAGATCAGCGCCTATCGCCCAGTGCGTTGTCGCCTTTGGGCGAAACAGAGTTAGGCGCAGTCTCGCCATATGCAGCTAACAGGTCGTTGGACCCTAGTCCCCGCGGGTCGTTGTCGCGACCTCCGCATCAACGGGGTTTCTCAGAGGCCGAGCATCCGCAGATACGAAAAATGTCTACGGAGAGCATGCTTCACTCACGTCAGAATTCAATCGCAAGCCGCATACCGGGGGCTTATATTTGCGAATGCTGCCCTAAGAAACCCAAGAAATTCGACAGTGAAGATGAGTTACGGTAAGTGCATGGATCCTCGCTTGCCCACCGCCATTTGGTCTGCCCACCCTTGAATAACCACGCTGACCCTGGCAATAGAGCACACGAACTAGAGAAGCAGTACACTTGCCTGTATTGTCCCAATCGCTTCAAGAATAAGAACGAGGCGGAGCGCCATCAGAATTCCCTTCATCTACGCCGTCATTCTTGGTCATGTGCCACTCTCAACAAGATCGAGGCAGCTTTCCATCCCTCACCTACTCGTCCAGCCGTGGCAGATGTGTGTGGGTATTGCGGTGAAGAGTTTCCCAACCCCGCCGACTGGGAAGCGCGAACTGAGCATCTTAATCACGTGCACAAGTTTGGTGAATGCAACCAAGCCAAGAAATTCTTCCGCGCAGACCATTTCAGACAGCACTTGAAGCATAGCCATGCTGGAACCAGTGGGAAATGGACCAACATGCTAGAGAACGCCTGCATGAGAGACGAGCCCCCACCACAAGAGCGTGTCGGCTCGATTGGCTCTATATCCGGCCCCTCGAGCCTGGCATCCAAGCCAGGTGTTATTAACGAAGCACACGACGAGGCATGATTTCGAAAAACTTGATACTACTGGCCTGGAGCCATGTACAGCGCTGCCGGATGTTGGAGATTATTCAAGATCCGTAGCAACGAACCCTGTGGCTTATCCGAGCAGCTTTTACCTGTCGAACCGGACCCTTCAGCAACATCGTCTCGGTCGAGCTGACACTAGCACTATCTTCACATTAGTATTTGTCCCATAGAGCGGCACTCAGACATTGCCTCATTTTTACGAAAAGTTTTCACGCCCGCAGACTGCTTCGCAATTTCTTTTGCCTCGGCGGCGAAACCGGGGCACTTTGGTATAACGACACTGATGACGGCATTCGGTCTTACACATTAGAGATATATCTACGCGGCCCATGACATTTCTGGTGCCACTCAGAGCGGCAAATCTGTTGCATTTCAAGGATGTTTTATCGATTCAGCGGGCGTTGATAGGACAGGAAGTCCAGGATTATTGTTTCAAGCGAAGACGTCCAAACAGTCTTTTTACCTACTATACAGCATGTGTGTCAAGCCAATGCATGAAGAAAATCTTTCCAATGTCTCATTGACCTGAAGCCTCGCCGGCGAGGCCGAATGCAACACTAGAACCATAGTCTTGGCAAGCGGGATCGTTATTCCCGGATTTTGATACCCACTTGAGCCGCGAGTCCGTACGGCGGATTCAGTTCATCTGACATCATCAATAATTCAAAAGAATTTTCCTGCTTGGCGCAAAGCCAAGGGGCAAAGCAAGTTCAGCTGTCAGTCGGCGTTCAGCAGTCGGCCTTGGCACGCCACCACCACCACCATCAGCCAACGCTCGTTACCCCCTTTACACAGTACATCGACTACGCCGACACTGACTCCCTTCGTTGACAGGATTTTACATGATTTCATGTCAGCTGTATGTGGCGGATCGATACTCGCCAAGATCTGAAGCACGTACCCCTAAATCAGAATATGTGGGCAGGGGCGTGCGCGTCCTGTCAGCGAGGAGATGCTCGCGTGATACCATATTGAAAGAGCGAGTGTGCCTCCTAGACAATGGCACTCCATCGCCAATGTAAAGGGAGTATACAGCAAGCTGAACATATGCTATCATCTGCTCGCGTATGCATGCTCGTCCAAGGAGCTTGTGCATAGCAACTTGGAAGGGCAAATGACCATGCATTTGCGTTCTCAAAGATGCTCTCTCTTTAATGCTACGCTGAAATAGGAAGCCAAGATATCAAAGATACATAAGTGGTAGCTTCATGAACTCCACCCAAGCTCTTACCTGAGTTATCTTGCCTCAACCCATGCCATCATCAAGAGCAAGAACCCCTAAATCTCTCCCATAAACCTCCTGCGCCAGCACAATACCTTTCACCACCTCCCACACCCTCCCCCAACCCATCACACCAACTCTACCACCCACCCCACACAGAAACCCATCATCGACCCAGACACGCGTATCTCCCTTCTACATTGTACACGGACCAAAACACACGCGTTCAGACGGAACCTGACACGTGCGGCTCGTTAGTGCTTACGCTGTCCCCATTCATGGTCGGTTCCCCTCTCGCATCATCCCACGCTCGTTGTTAATTTCTCCGAAAAGGAGCACGGATCATGCCTTGTTTCGGATGTCGGTTTTCTGTGACAGGACGGGTCATGCGGGACGGGTCATGCGGGGTGTGGGGGGAGGGTGTTTCGGGGGAGATGAGGTTGCGTGTTGGAGGAGAGGGGGAATTGGGGAGCATTGGGGAAATGGGTTGGTGCGCGTGGTGAGTGAAGATCTGTAGTAGATGCGTACGAGCTGTGATGGTTCGGAGGTCTTATTTTCTTGAGGTGTGTACTGGCGAATTCAACGTATCGTTTTCTCCAAATTTGCTTTTATTCCTGCGATATAGGTCCTAGGCGTAACAGGCTATGAATACGAGACCTAGCATAAGTAGCAAGGGTAAAAGGCATAGTAAATGTTGACTAGAGATTCCACCGGATGCTGGATTTTGCTGCTTGTTCGAGTTTCGATATGTTATAAATCCCGTTCTGGTATGCGTAATGGTCACTACTGAGGCGGCCTCATCGCGTAGGCGCGGTATGAGTTTTAGAACTTTGAGTGACTTGTCTCTACGTCATTGCTGTACCAAGAGATAGTGGGACTTGACTAAAGCATCACATCACATTCAATTTGTGTACCAGAGGGGATTTTGAGTTTGGAAGTTGGCCACATCGCTGCGCCTCGTTCTGCACCCTTTCCTTACTGCATGTGCTCATTCATCAGGAATCTTCATACTACAACAACAACCTAACCCTACTTAGAATTTGTAGTACCCACCGCAAACAGTCAAATCACTAATACCAGCGCCAACAACCGCCTCTGAGAGCCAAAGCGTCACTATAAGATAGATCACTATCTCAAGGTCTCCTGCTTGACGCAAAGAGGTAAGCGTCTGAGCCAGAGGCAGTACGCTCAGGTAAATATGAGAGACGGAGAGAGCGTACGAGTGCACAATACCCCGGGACTACGATCGATCCACAAGGAGACATACCAGGTTTTTCTGCTGCTTTAAATCATGAATGGGCTGATGGGATTTCAGAGAGGGCTTGTAAGAATGTGTATGGCACGCCTCGAGCATAGTCAATGAAGGGAAATCAGGAAGATGAAGCAATTTGTTTCAGGGTTGTTGTCCACGAGATTAGATGATCTTGTTCTAGTCTCCAATTCGTACTATAGCTTTACTGTATAGTATGCCAAATGACACGCCCTAGTCATGTCGCTGTCGCTGTCGCTGTCGCTGTCGCTATTGCTGTTGCAAGACATACTGTCAAGTTTTGTCTATTGCGACTTCGTAATTGCATGATGTGCGTCGCTAAAACCGCCTTTCCTAAGTTAGTATCTTACACGTAGCTATACATTGTCACCCATCACCAAAATCCATATCTTGGTCCCGCGTGCAGACATTCATCTCTGATACTAGACCTCGCAAGATCTACAATCGCATAACACGGCATCCCACATATTTCAATATCAACCAGGACTAATAGGGAAGTGTTTTAACATCACCGGGAACTGAGTTCGCGAAACACTGCACTCAGTCAAGTGCTTACGCTGACATTAACCCAGGTCGCAGGATCGGTCCCTAGGTCCACTCTCGCAAAAGCTTTTCCCTGGGACGCCTGAACAGACTAAAGCAGCGGAGACACCATGAACTAGCAGCATTGTGGCTTCAGGATCGTGAGATTGCCCTATTGCAAGGCTAGAGACAAACAAGTGTCACAAGATGCGTGTCGACATTACGCCCTACGCATCCAACAGACTATGCTGCAAAGGGCTTCTGCGCCGTCATGGATTCCACCTTATGGGAAGATATAAGCGATTCCAATAAACAAAGAAAGGACAAATCGAACGGAAAATTAAGCTGCTAGCATGCATGTGATGCAGTACGTGATGTGTCGCTGAGTAGATGCGCGGGACGATGCTGACGCGCGCAGATCGGAAGCGAGGCTTACTGTTACCGTTTAGTCCGCTGCTTGAGGCAGGGTTCGAGAGTTGTTCGCGTGATTACCCGTTCGTGCTCACCCAGCAGCATCTTGAAGAAGAGGCTGGCTGGAGAGCGCGTTTAGTGGCGGCAGTTGGACGGCTTGTACCGTAGTATTAGCGGATATCTGAGGATGTGGTAAAAAGCTAAGACATGAACGGGTGAGCGTTTGAGGAGATGATGTAGGGCTGGAATAGACTGCATTGCGAAGCGGCGGAGCGTAGACGGCATGCAGTGCCAAGCGCTGGATAGCATCAGCGCTTTTGGGAGTTGGAGAAGTTGAAGACAATGTATGGCTCTTGGTTGCTGTATAGTATCATACTCGAAACGGCGTACTATTGAGCAATGTTCCTCATTGCATAAACACCCAAGTGCCCAAGCCGTTGCGACGCTTGGCACAGCGGGTGTCGTTGAGAAGGGCATCCTTCCTGAGTTAGCACATCGCCAAGACTCCTATCGTGTCACCACCCACGCAGATATGAGATGACTCAGTAGACGCGATGTGGTGACAAATGGTATAAGCGAAAGGGTGAACAGGCGGGGTGCGCCATTGCGTGGTAACAACGAGCTGTGTGCCCTTGTCACTTCCTCTCTGCCCCATAGAGATCGGTCACAGTGCCATTACTGTCAGATTGCCTGCAAATCGTTCGATCACAGTATAGCTTGTCCTTGTTTAGGCTTGCGTAGCGAGGATTTGTACCTGTCACGACGCGTGCCGGTCTCGGAAGTGATTGGATACACAGCGTTGGTTGTTATACCGAGATCTCGGGGTACCGCGACTTGCTGAACATACTGATAAGCAACTTTGGCGTAGATGAAGGGTCATGACACAGCATGTGGGTTGGTGTACGGCTGAAATGGGTCAACTGAGTGAGCTGATCATTGCCTCTTCATCATGAGCGCACCAAATCCGAGAGCCATGAGTTATCATCTGGCCCCGAAACTTTGACGATGGATGCAGTGAACTAGAACCCCACTTCAATTGGAAGTAGCCAAGACCAGATATACAAACTTGCATGAAGACAGCTTAGATCGGTATAGGAGTTACTGCCGTCTTAGAAGCCCCCAAGCCACTTCCGCACGATGTCTGCACAAGCGAAGTGTGACAGGCTGAATCCTGCGAGTACATCTGCAGTGTGTGAGCGTTGTTGACTGAAAGTAGCACCTGTCGAACGGATGAATGTATCCGACTATCCCCGTCACACTGGTAGCGATTAACGTCCCTAGGCGAAGAATACCAAAGGGCGAAAGATCTGGTTTGACCGTAACTATAAACAGATGATATGCGTGACACGTATGACATTCGGTAAGCATGGCCTTTGAACCGGCCGCTAAAAGCTGACTGCATCGTCTTCGAAGGATCTAAGGCCGGCGGCCGTGGGGTCCGTCGCTGTTCGCATAAGCCGATCGTGCCTGCTGCCGGGCGAAATGCGGATATGAGTTTCTCCAAGGTGACGGGAGCAACGACTGGTCTGTGACATTGACCATTGTCGATATT